ATGACAAAACATGATGGGTACATCACCATAGTAGCCATTTATGTCGACGACTTGATAATAGCGTGCAACGACAAAGCACAGCTCAATAAGATAAAATCTGAACTCGGCACAATTTTTAGATTGCGCGACATGGGACCAATTCACTGGGCTCTGGGTATCGAGTTCTCCCAGACCGAAAAGGAGGGGAAGAAAGAAATCACCATGTCTCAGAAGCAATACATTCTAGATATCTTAAAACGTTTCGGCATGGAAGAATGCAAACCCATCGCTACTCCACTCGACGGAAATTCCAAACTACTAAAACCGAGCGAAGAAGAAAGCCTTTCTGAAAGTGAACGGAGAAAAATTCCATATCAAAACCTTATCGGCACACTTATGTATCTCGCCGTCGGTACTCGCCCTGACATTGCCTACACTGTCAGCATGTTGAGCCAATTCAACACTTGCTACAATCATACCCACTGGCAAGCAGCAAAACGAGTGCTCCGCTACCTCAAATATACTGCCGACTACGGAATCACATTCAAAAAAACAGGTAAACCACTCGAAGGTTATGTAGATGCCGATTGGGGAGCATGTCCGAATGATCGACGCAGCTACACAGGCTATATGTTCATGCTCGCAGGCGCAGTAGTGAGTTGGGAATCACGAAAACAACGTACCGTCGCACTCAGCTCAACTGAAGCCGAATACATCGGACTAACCGAAGCAGCAAAGGAAGCAATCCACCTTAAAAACCTTCTCTGCAACGTTCACTCAAGATCAGATCATCCCATAACGATATACAACGACAATCAGAGCGCCCAGAAACTTGCCAGAAACCCGATCTTTCACTCACGAACTAAACACATCGGGATACGACATCACTTCATCCGGGAGGCTCTCGAACGCAGAGACGTAGACATCAAATATCTACCGACCAGCGAGATGCCGGCCGACGTTCTAACCAAACCATTGTTTTCGAACAAACACCGGTCGTGCGTCGCCAACATGGGTATCGGACCCATAGAAGGTTCACCGTGATATCAAATTGAGGGGAGGTGTCGATACTCTCGACGCATACCAATTTGACCCACTAGAGGGACCTACCCAATAACCAAACAAAAGGTTTTATGACCCTTTGTCTTAACCTGTTCCTTTGTTAGAACTACTGTCTGTCGACACGTGCGGACGTTCGTCCTACTGCTATGTAAAGACTTTTGTACATTAATTCATAGATTAAAGGAAGATACCTTAACCAGTTTAATATGTTTTCATCTGAGTGTCTCTCCACTGATTCTGAATTAACCACAGAATCTACTATTTATAGGAAATAAAAATTAGAGTTTTCTTTTTTATTCACCTATTATCTCTCTTTCATTCTCTATTTATAATATGTATATAACAATAATTTATATCATTGAAAAATCAAACTCCTTTCATTTTGATTGCACTACTAAATGCTATTTGAAACACTAGTAGCATTAGTAATTCTTGATCTTAGTAAATATAAAAACGTTTGCATACTAATTTTATTCTACTTTAAAATTAATAATTTTAGACAGTTTAAATCATTTAACTCTCTTATCACTTTATTTTTAGATTCAGATTTTGGTTTAATTATATGCTAATAAAAACTATACAAAAATTGGATAAGGAAAATAATATTCTGATAATTATGTTTTATAATAATATGAGATTATTATTACTATTCATAAAAGTTAAAAATTCATTACAATTACTAAAATAAATTTTAAAAAATATATAAATAAAAGTTTAAAAAGTATTGAACAACAGTACTAAAAGAATTGGTTATTCTTTTAGTACTGTTTTCAATTTTTGCAGGACAATATGAATATTTGATAATATTTTATTTGTGATTAAACAAAATAAAATTAGAATTCTATTAATATATATAATTTTCTTTATTTTGATCTTTAAAGTCATACCTCATCCTATATGTGAGATTGTCTTATACCTGAGTAAATATGGTAATTTATAATACATTAGGATTATATTGTGGCTTATATATATTTTGTACTAGTATAATTGTGCTTAAAATTTATGAATTTCACTTTTTATCTACTTTAAGTTGTTTACACATTAAACAGGAAAAATTGAATTGCTTTGATATAATGGGTTTGTATAGAATGAATTGCAATGACAATATCATAAATTCTTTAATGCCACTGGCAATTAAAAATAACAAACTTGGATTTGTATTTGTTAACATTATACAAATACAGGGTCTTCCAATATGAATACTACCATTTTAAATTATTGTAATTATGTTAATTATTACCTGAAAAGTATGCATTGTAAATTAATCAATGGAGCAACTGTTCAAGTTTCATATACCATCTATACCTTTCTAAAGCAATGTTTTAAGTACAGTCATAGGATTTATTTCTTTATACTACAGCATGTGTGAACTCCATCTATTTGAAAGTTCAATTTGAATTTTGTTCTTTAGTTTGAAAAATTATTCGGTTCTGCATTACGCTTATGTAATCTGATGATATCTGTTTGAAATGAATGAAAACGTTCATGTTAGCAAATATATTGGATGTTTATGGCTGGTTTTGGTGTTTTGTGTGTGACACACTTAATGACTTTAAACAAAGGAAAAGCTATCTGATGAATTTGTAATTGGAATTTAAAATCACCAAATAATCCATACCTACTTTCAAATTTCATTTTCAGAGATAATTTCACACAGATAACATATAGGTTATCAGTATTAAATTATAGTAATACCAATTTGTTGATATTACAAATAAAAACTATTCAAATTTTTAAATCAATATCTTATAAATATGTTAATAAATTTTTGCTAATGTTATTGGACTGCAATAATGTTTTTATGAAATTTTAGTTATTAAAATCATTAATACAATTTTCTCTCAAGAAAAAAATAATAGATATGTTACATATATCTGTTGAGAGTATAATATCTACAATAATAATAGCATGATGTTCTTGATTAATGTAGTCAAAAATACTTTAAACATTATATATATGTTATTATTAAAAGCACTAGGAATAGTTTAATTTATTGTTAAAATGGCATAAATTCACCTAGTAAATAAAAAATATACAAAGAAATCATATTCTTAACTATTTCTATTACAGATCTAGATTTAAATCTCATTTCATGCTATTTTTTTCCTTGATCTGTCTAAATTAAATTAATGTTTAATTAAATAAATCATTTAGATATTAGAAAATGACAAGAAACTTACCCGCAGTTAATAATTTCTGCAATTATTAATAGCTTTAAAAGCCAGAAACACTTTCCAATCTAGTTACATCTACAATTCTATAATATTAACAAAATTTATTATTATGTATAGCATATTGTACTGTTTTATTTTTAACATCAAATATAAATATTAATAATTAAAATTAATACTGCAAAAAAATAATTTATTATGATTATTTTCCAATATTGTATTTACAAAGTTATGTTATATTATACATACATTCTTAATTTATCCATAACTCGCCTTTTTCCTTAATTACTATATATATAATAGGAACTACCTTTGTTCCAATTAATGATATTGTAACGTTTTCATTGCAAGTTAATTTGTTCACTGATTGCTTATAAAAAACTAATAATAAATTACTATAGAACTTGAGCAAATAATAAATAATAATTGATTATTTTTTAAAATTTATGTATAATATTTTATTTGTATAGTCATATATATTTTGCATACAACCATGTCTTATTAAATTTTTAAATTTAACAAAACAAACTAACAAAGGATAGTGAAATGTTTTTAAAAGTAATTTTACTGACATAACAAAACTTAATAAAACAAACTACTTTTTAAAAGTAATCTGTGTTATTTAAAATGTTTAGAAATAACTTATATAATTCAGAATTAAACCATTTTTGTCATACTGAAGCTAAATGATTTAACTCTGAAGTTTAAAAGTAAAGCTTAATTAAATACTTAAAGTAAGAACACAAAATTATTGGTACTATAAGCTAATCAAACCTAACAACTCTAATTACTTAAAAGAAAAATTTCATGCTTCTCTAATTGACAGCTTAATTGAAAATGAATAATATAGCAATGTATTATTCTTTAGTCTTATTATATCTTAAACAGCTATAGTAAATAAATCTATTTACTTGTATCAAATGCTATTAAAAGTCTATCATCATTGGCATATTTCATCCAATAGTGAAATATGTCAATGATACACTTATTAGTGAAAATTCTGATATGATTTGGAATCAGCAAATTTATGTATTGTAAATAAATGTATTATTAACATAATTTATTTGAAAATTTTCAAAACTGTATTATTTATAAATTTTCAATATTAGACATTATTTACTTCAACTTTGTGAAAATCAAAATTAACTAATTAAAAGCATAAAATAAATATTAAAAATAATAAAAGACTGAATATATTTTAATCAACAAACAGGAAAATATTGGATCCCAACCCAAACTGCTTTTATTCCAGAGTAAAAAATTTATTTAAAGTTCCCAAAATCAAGTTTTTTAAAATCTATTGTCTTAAATAAATACTTGAATTGAATTACACATTTGCTAAAAACAAAACATAAATATAACTTTAATATAATATTAATTTATGATAACCATTACATAACTGGTGGCTTCATATGCACAAAAATTGTAAAACAACATTAGAAAACTTTTGTTAATGACATAAAAGAAAAAATCTCCTCCTGTATACATACTGTGTAAAGAGATAAAAATTTTTAACAAAATAGTTTACTTGAAGCTTCCTGTCCTTTAAACATTGTGTTTATAAATCATATAGTAAAGTACATTGATAAATCAAGAACTTAACATATAGGAATGCACTTCATTTAGATGGACAAACCAAATCTTTCAGATAGTCATTCTGCAAGATAAATTTTGAGTCTAGACCCCTCTTCAGTTGCAGACCATACAAAATGATGATGCTGATTCTTATTTTAAAAAATTTTTTAACATATAAGTTTGAAAAAATAATTATAAAAATAGTTAAAAGAATAAAACAGTAAAAAAATTTTTGTGTTAAAAGTGTCAATTTTTCTGCACTTTTAACAAAAAAGTAAAAATTGTTATATACTTTTAACCATTTTTATACTTAATTTTTTTCAAATTTATGTTAAAAATTTTTTCAAAATAAGAATCAGCATCATCATTTTGTATGGTCTGCAACTAAAGAGGGTCTAGACTCAAAATTTATCTTGCAGAATGACTATCTAAAAGATTTGATTTGTATATATAAATGAAGTGCATTCCTGTATGATAAGTCCTTGAATTATCAATGTAATATATTATTTAGAAACAAAACAAAATAGTGTTTTTGATTTAATAAAGGAATGAGAATCTGTTTCTGGAGACCCAGTAAAACAGTAAAATTTAGAATAATGAAGTGGGGAAAAAGTTTCTATATTGGTTCCACAATTAAAATGTAAAATACTGTAATAGAGAACACTAGGAAGGAAAAGTTAAGAATAAGTTTAGCTAAGAAAGCTTCTAATAAAACTTAAATGTAAAGTGGAATGAGACTATTAATATATAATAAGAATGTTTGAACAAATTTGAGAATAATGAAACAATTGTGTATTTTTACAGTAAACTTAGATTACAGATATTTAATAAGAATGCAGACAAAATGTCATATATTTGTAAAGTACTGATTAGAAAACAGACAGGAAAAGGAAGAGAGAGAGAGAGAGATAAAGATGTAGTAGTTTTAATTTTAAAACTAAATAGTCCAGCATTTAAACTGTTTGTAAACAGGACTTTGTATTTTTTTTAATATTTTTTGAAACATTTTTAAAAATTGTTTTTAGAATGAAAGATTTAATAGAATGTTTAAAAATTTAATATTTCAAATGTATTTATCAATATATTTATTTGATTTTTGAAGATGGAAAAAAATTTACCAAAAACATATCAGTAGAATAAAATAATTGGTAAGCAGTTAAAACTCACTGTGTTCGGTGTTATTAATCATTTTTCCTTCTTTAAAAATGATTTATAACGCTGAACACAGTGAGTTTTAACTGCTTATCAATATTACTTGGCGTGAATAACATACTAGTCTATATTAAAATAATTGGTTCCTTAAATAAGGCTATGCTGATGATGATTGAATGGTACAGTGTAATTATTAACTGTTTAAAGGGGTGTAGAAATTATATTGTATATTGCATTTAATTATATAAATAAATTCATTTTTGTATGTAATTGGAAATTTTATTATTAATGCAGTAAAAACAAAGAATTTTTGATAATATTACTAGTGATGAGATGATACCAAAATATCTCCCAATTCCTGATTTTGATTCTGCTGAAAACTCCTAATTTTGATTCTTTTGAATACTTTCTAAAGTTTATTTTAGTTTAGAACATTAATGATTTACATTATAAGCATGGTATATTCATTAATTAATACATAAAGCTTAAGAATGAAAAATGATTGGGAAAGCCAGAATCAATCTTTCAAAACAAACCTAAAAATTCTCCATTTATATGTGAATATGCATGCTTTTCTTGAGTATTATAAATGTATTTGCAATTTTATTTCACATAAAGTTAATATTGCAATACTATCCCCAATGAAATTACAGCTAATTCCCTTTTACTGAATGAACTATCCCATCATGTCATATAGGTTTGTCATCTTCAGAAACTGCTTTGTTGGCCTACACAATGACCAGGCAAAGTGGGAAGGTAAATGAAAATATGCACTTCTATTTTTTTGTGCTTCTCACACTTAGCATGCCTTGTAAATGCTTTAATTCCATCATATTTAACACTAAGTGAGGTTTGGAAAATGATGCAATGAGTTGAATAAATATCATCATCATGAGTTAACCAATTTTTGAATTCATTCCTTGAGCCATGAATGTCTAGACTGGCTCATTTTGAAAAATCAATTTTAAAACTCAAAACTTCAGCAGACTTATAGAGCAACCATATATTTGTACTTAAATCGTGCAAATTGCATTTGAAAATTTAATGTACTACAGCATCATCTGTGAATCATAACAAAAACTTTCATAATTATAATGAGAAAGTCATTTTATCATTATAAGTAAACATACTAAATAATAAAAATAACTTTATATAATATTTTTTTGATTAAAATATAATTTTGTTTATATTTTATACTGTTTTTCTGACACTTAAATATTTTTGCTGACTGCTGGCCTTGATTTGAAATTGCCAGTCAAGCTGGCCCAATGTCAGCCATATGGCAATTCTGATGACACCCTATCTCCCCTATAATGGGAACAGTTAATACTGATCAAGTGCAATCTGTCAATGCTCTGACTACATAAAAGAAAAATCTGCCATGACAGACATTGCTTCATGGGGCATCTCATACTCTTTCTCAACATGAAACTTTCCAATAAACTAATAATTAATTGTTCATTTCATAATTAAAAAAAAATTTAATCTTCAATTGAAACAAACAATTAATTTTCTTATTAAATGCCAAAGAATTGTTTTAAGATTTGGAAATTGTGACAAGATTTGCTCAATTCTGATTACCAGAAAATGCCCAATTTTTCCAATTCCTGATTCATCATCCCATCACTAAATATTACTTACATCTCTGAAATATTGGAATTACAGTAGAGCATTGATTATCCGAATATTGATCAACCGAAAGCTTTCCAGTTGGCAAATTTAAATTTCCACTAGTGCTTTGGCACTGCAATCTTTGGCTATGTCTTGGGCTACTCCAATATTGTTTTTGTTGGTGTGTGTGTTTTAGCTGGCAGCACTGGCACAACCATGAGAGGGTACTTAAGGACATGCCAGGATTTGAACGAATTTCAACATGGGATAGGTTAATATATTTTTTCGTACATAATCAGTTATCCAAAAAATCAATTTTCTGAACAACCCAAGTCCCCAATTGATTTGGATAATTGATGCTCTACTGTATTTCATTTCTATTGTTTCTCTTATATAAATTTGTTTTAGATATCTTCTTTTACAGTGGTAAAAAGACTTACAGCCATAGATTCAAACTATCTCTAAAAACTCATATGAGCCATGCAAGGAGAGGGTCAGAAATGTATTTCACAGATTTTGATGAGCTTTTTCTTGGTTATTCTGGGATACTAAAAAACATTTCCTGTAAAGCCCTAGGTTTCACTTTTGCATTTTATTCAAGAAAATCATGATTCTATTGGGTTGTTGAAAAAGTTTCTAGAATTTTCTAGACCTTTCTAAAATATTTGAAATTGTTTTCTGACAGATGACAGCTAGTCTAGAAGTTTCTTATGGGATATGTAAATGAAGATTATTGAGGTGCACAATTGTAAGTAAAATGATATTATGTATGCTAAAACCAGAAGTATATCAGAGCAAGGTTGTGCTGTGTATCTGATGGAATGTTTGCTGACCTGCCCATTTGGAAATGCTTCAATGAAATACCACTATAACTTTTGAAATCTACTCCCTCAGTTGCAACATTTGGCTGATGTTCTCCACACTAAGTGGCTACAGCTAAATGTTGTGCACTTTCTTCATGACAATGCAAAACAATATGGGTCAAGAGTGACCTGGCA